GGTTGTAGTCAATTATGCTCTTTTATTGTAAATATTTCATTGTGAATTTGCTAAGAACAAGGAACAAGAATATTGGCTTATAATCACAGCATACTTAGAAAAACTCAGGAATTTGAACACTGGTACAACATTAAATGTGTAAATCTCATTCAAGTTTTGACTGTTGTTCTAATAATATGGAATAGCAGTTTCAAAAGATCATTTATTATTCAGTCCAGAATCATGCATTATATATAGCTTGGAAGTCTTTCAAAAAATTTTTTTCTTTGAGGATTTCATACAACATTTTGATCATGCACATGCTCCTCCCCAGTTCCTCTCAGATTCACCCCCACTTCCTACCCACCCAATTTTGTGCTCTTTTTTTTTTTTTTAATTAATTTTTTTTCTTGCTTGGCGGTGGTGGTGCACGCCTTTAATACCAGCACTCAGGAGACAGAAGCTGGCGGATCTTTGAGGCCAGCCTGCTCCACAGAGTGAGGTCCAGGACAACCAGGGCGACAACCGAGAAACCCTGTCTTGAAAAAATTTTTTTTTTCTCATACAGTGTATTTTGATGATGTTTTCCCATTCCCCTAACCCCTCCCAGATCCTCCACCTGCCTCCTTATCCACTCAACTTTATGTTCTCTCTTTCAACCACACCCCCCCCCACACACACCCCACTGCCAAAAACAAAAAGCAAAACAAAACAAGAAAACAGCAGTAACAGCAAACAAATTTCCAGGAGACGAAAAGCCCACAAAAAGGAAAACATAGCAAGGCCATCACTTCCTAAGCCTCCTCAAACAGCGCCACCAACTGGGGACCAAGTATTCAGTATCTCAGACTGGGGGACATCTCATTCACACCACCACAGCGACAGACTGGTGGACCAAAAGTTTTCTTATTCCTGGAGAGCCTTTCAGATTTCTTGACCAGGTAGGCCTCACGGACATGAGCAGTGCTGCTAGAATGAGTGTGGCCAGTGCATTGCTGTAGGCGTCCCCTCCCTTAATCAGCCATTTACTTCTTGTAATAATCTCATGAGACAAGCAGAATTGCTGTCCTTCTTTATAGCTCAGAGTTTTTAAGTAACACGCTGCCAAGTTGAAACAGATAAAAGCGCGGTATCTTAACTTGGCCTGATGTGAAAATTCTTTACCTTTTGGCCTTTTGCTGAGCATTTGGAAGCAATTTGTTGTTTCTAAAGGTGGAAAGCTCTTGAGATGGTTATTGTTTTTTGTCAACTTGATAGAAAATAGCATCACTTGGCAGGTGAGCCTCTACCTATGGGGATTATTTTGGGTATGCTAATCAAGGTGGAAAGACCAGCCCACTGTGGGTGGCACCATTCCCTGACAAAAGAGGAGAAAGTGGACTGAGCTTTCTTTCTATTTGATGGAGTGTAACCTGCTGCTTCAAGCTCCTGCCTCTGTGACTTCTCTCCCACAATGGACTGTAACCTGGAACTGTGAGCTAAATAAATCCTTTCTCCTTTATGTGGCTTTTTTTTTTAATCAGAATATTTTATCACAGCAGCAGGAAATGAAACCAAGACAGCTCTGATTTGTAACATTTGCCAATTTTAGTAGCATAATTTCTCCTCTAATGATTGATTTCAAGCTATCCATCCTGTTTTACTGGGGGCAGAATTGTCAAGCAATGTATCCTGGAAAAAATGTCAGTAGTATGTACACACACACACACACACACACACACACACACACACACAACTATTTCTTCCATATACACACTGTATTATAAACCTCAAAACAATATAGTAAGATATAGACTTACTAATACAGGGCTTTTAGTATGTGTTACATTTGCTTTTAATCTGTTTTAGGTATTTGTAAGTTTAGCTTTTAGTAATGACTGTGCTTAGCAGTTCGCTCATAGAATTCCCAGAAATTTAACAGCTGCCTCTCATGATCTATACAAGTTGGCCAAGATACCGCTGCAATTATCTTGCTGCTGACCAGACCTACCTTCTAATATCGTGTGGCCAACATTATCTAAGACATCAGTGATTTCTCCTCTTTTACCATTTCCTTCCCAATTTCCTACTGCATTTTTTCCTGTATCTCTAGTTACCATGTTCCCTGTTCCCCATGTCCTTCCTCTTCCATCTACTTCTGTGGTATAATTAATTAATTCACTTCTTATTCCTGAACTGCCTAGCCCTTTTCCATTCTATTACCCATTTCCCCTACATACCTGCTCCTTGAAGGAGGGTCCTGGATGATTAGTGTCTTGTGGAATGGAGAGTCTTCTGGCAAGGGCTTGTAGAGAGGAAATCATTGGTCTGGAAAAAAAATACTGAGAAATCAAAGTTAAAACAATTTTTATCTCAATCATACATTAATTTTTGCTGTGCTATTAGTAATGTTCTGTGTAAGTAAGTTCAGGATGTGGGCAACTGAGACTCACCACCATTTAGAATCTTCCCTTATTTTTGTCATCTTTTTATTAAAAACCCATTTGTATGGACAATTAAGCAGTTACTCTAACATTTTTAATCACTATTTTTATTTGGGGGATCATCTATACTTATAAGACATAATATAGATTGCCTTTTTCATTAGTTATTGTGTCATCTATTAGCAAGACCAATTAATCCTAAAGACGATCAAGCTCAAGGATAGACTTCTCATGAATGAAGAAAGGGAACATTGTGTCTCTGTAAGGACAGCACTGTGTTCCTTGGGCCTGTGTTACTGGAGACTGAGGACATAGATGCAGTCTTTTCCTGTCACTGGGGGAGACTGAAGTAGTAGTTGAGAATGTCTTGAGCATTATCATTGTCGCGAAGCTCATCTGTGTAGTCAGTAGTGTGACAGACTTGTTATGTGCAGCCAGACTTCTTTATCCATGTATTCTGTGGGTCGGGCCTAGTTTTGAACAACACTAATTTATCAGGGCTTCTCTCTTGGAGAGTAGGGAGAAAGTAACCAATTGCCTGGATACAAATTCTTACTGACGTCTGCCACTCTTCTCCTCCAACCCCACTTGCTTCATCTTTCAGATCCATCTCCAGTTAGTACTGGGTGCCTGGTGAATCACCATAAAGTAGGAGTCACTTGCATCTGTGAAAGGTGGAGTTTGTTTGCTCTCTGACTATAAGAGGGAACCAGCTACCTTTAGTTCCAAGTGCCTTTGGAGTTTAGCTTTTGAGTTGCCTTGAAGTGAATAAAGCTTTGTTCCCTTCTCTTGGGTATAAGGTTATGTGACTTAACTTTAAAAAAAAAAAAGTATGAAAGCATTTCAGAACACAGTTATTTTTGTCTTGGGAGTGAGAAAAGAGGTTGGTATTGAAAGCTTTGTTAAAAGGATTTCAGTGGCTTATGTCAACCATCTCTTGCTCTCATTGAAAGGAAGCCCCACATATTATGGGCACGTATTAGCAAGAGACTGGGTCCTCAGGTGGAGAGGAATCCTTGGTTCTGAAAAGGAGGATTCATTCTTAGAATTTCAGTTTAGGAATCTAAGTGAACAAATTTCAATTAGAAATCTAAGTAGACTTCCTCTCATGTAAAGATGTAGGTGGTAAGTAAAAGTGACCATAGCGTGTAAGTGTATGAATGGGCACAACTGGGCTCCAGTGAAGCTTTGCTTGTGACATGGAAATTAACAAAACAAGCAAGAGGCAAGGGTGTGGCCCATGGGTCTTAGTTTCTAGCTCGTGAAGAAAAGGGTGAAATGTTTATGTTTTTGTTTGTAGAGTATGAGGGGACTGCAGTACTCAGAGAAAGTGGACTATTCTCATTGTGCCTCAGACATATAAACTGGTTGCATCATACTAAAGAATGGCAAACATTTACTGGCTTAAACCTTTCAAAATCATTTCCCAGAGAAAGATGCATGCATAAGACCAAAATATAGTTTGGAGTAGTGACCAAAGTTAATGCTGGTTCTTTCCCTGCCCGTGATATCCCTTGTGTTAGAGTGCTTTGGAGTGTTCCAGTTATAGCCAGGTAAATTATGGCTTATTTGGAGTTACGCTTCATTCTGACTTACACTGTATTTGGTAGACATGGGCATGAGGAATAAAAGTGACATTTATGCTCCAGGAAATACTTTGAACTCATTCTCCAAAATCAACGTGCTGTTAACATTCATTACACTTAATCTTAGGTTTGACCTCTTGATTGTGGGTTTTCAGTGTATAGCAGAATGCTGCCTTCTGCTTCACTTATTCTGGGTTTAATAATGTGGCCACAGGGTGGCATGGTTCCCTTACATACTTTATTGTTGATAAAATGAAAGAGGAAAAAATATAAATTCAATGATAATTCTGTTCCCATTTTTTATGTTAAAATGGCCAGGTTTTCACTAAATTATTGTTTACATAGTTCATTATTAAGATTTGCAGAATCAAAAAAAAAATTGCAGAATCTTAAATTCCAGTACCCCAAACTTTGATGTGTTAATGGGTTTTTTGTTTGTTTGTGGTTATAACACAAATTATGTTTCTAATTGAGAAGAATGGTAATTAGGGCTATATTTCACAGGTATATTTAACTATGAGCCTCATTTTATTAAAAAATCACCTTACAAAAACTGATAGAAGAGTATTTGAAACTGGTAGACAAAGATATTTTTCATCATAAATAATTACAAAGATGTGTGCAGAGTTACAGGCTTGATAGGTACCTGATTATAAAGGCTTAGTGGAAGGATGGCGAAAGGAAAACAGGGATCTCAGATGGTCACGAAGCACAGCTTGTTCAAAAAGTCATCTTTTAATTGATGGAGAGTTCCCTCTGTTCCGTGTGTTTTCATATATCCACTCTAAAGATAGAAGGGTTGCTTCCATTTATATAGTCAAGGAAGTTTAATGGACCTAAGTAAATTTTTGTAGGTGAGATTTGAATGCGCATTACTGTTTCAAGGCATATGTAGATGCCCTCACCTTTGTTGGGAAATGGATAGACTTGGTAGTATTTCATGAGATGTAGAGTTTAGCAGGTTCCCAGGAACCTTACTAATGCAGACTTGTGGATTCTTCTCCATTCCTAGGGCGATTGTGTTGTTACAATATTGCTTGCTGAAGAGGACAAAGTTGAAGATGATGCTATTTTTTACTTGATATTTTCTGGCTCTACTCTCTATCACTGCACAAGTACCCGGAAAGTCAGTTCTGATACGTTGGAGACAATTGCTCCTGGTAAGTATCTGAATGGAATCTGTTCTAACCTTTGTTAGTTATTTGTTAGTTTGTTTTTTATCTTGAGGCAAGGGTTAGCTGGGAATAGCTAAGGCTGGCAGAGAAACTGTCTCCTGAGTGCTGGGATTGCAGGCCTATACCGTTATACTGGGCTTCTTCCCTCGCAGTGAATACTCCCCACCCCCAGAGTAATAGAAGGAGCAAAACAGGGTACTAACAGCTGTTGTAGATCTTTAAGTACACTGATAATGCTTTTGCTTGTTCCATACACGTCAGAACCTAACTAGAAGTAAAGGAAATAAAGTGATGTTATAAATTGAGCAATATCAGGATCAGCAAAAACAAAAACCAATTTATTGGATGTTGAGAGTTGGAGAAAATTGAGAGATACGTGGAAAGTATGCATTCTCGTGGTGATACTTCAGATTTCATTCTGAGTTTCATGGTGACAAAACCAAAAAGGTTAAACCTAATTAGTAATTCATCCTTCATGTCTGGGATGCAAACTTACAGTGTGCTTCTCATAAGAAGTCATTCCCTCAGATTTACAACCCACAGGATACCATGAAATGCAGGGTTACTGACCACTGTATTTGTAAATTCAAACAAAAGTTTCCAAACCAGTTACAAGTCATCAGAGCAGTGCTGTTGGATGATAATGTAGCAGTTATTGCTTTGCCTGCCCAACATTTGAAGGTTTGTCTTTGGGGCTGATTTTTCTCCGTAGTCTTACAGTTAACAGTTGGGCCAGTTTTCACCAGAATTCAAAAGAGTGCACTTTGAAGACTACTCCAACTAATGTTGATAGCTCCGTTATTTCTCGTTAGAGAATGAAATGAATGTGGCTCAAGTGCCAGCATCTCTGGTGTTCCCTTTGTTGGTAGAGGTGGTGTTAAAATGATTACTTTAGGGAGCCCTTTGAGTAGTGACTCGTACTGTGCCAGATAAGTCTGCCAGTTTCTTCTGCTTGTGCCGTTCCCTGTAAAGCGTCTTATTGTCCAGTCCCTATGAAATTATGAAAATCATGCCCCTCAGAGAACTGCTAATGTAGCAGTTGCGGGTTGTTTTTACTTTTACCAACTTTGGAGATTTATAAAGATTCCAGATGGTTTTTAGGAACGTATTTCCCAAATATAAAGAGATGACCAGGAGAGTTAGTGAGTTCTTTTCTAAAGACTGTTAGGCATCCTCTTTTGTAACTGAGACCTCCAGCCGTCTTGTTTTCTGTGATGTATATCAGGTCAGAAGAGCTGATCCTGAGACTTAAGGTCTATTCTTGAGCTGGTGCCCTTCAATACTGCCACTGCTTAACTCACGGGTGTCGGTGAAGCAAGAAGGGTGCTCTGAGATGAATGTTACGTTTCATTTCTTCCCAATCTCAATATCTCTCTCTCTCTCTCTCTCTCTCTCTCTCTCTCTCTCTCTCTCTCTCTCTCTCTCTCTCTCTCCCCCCCTCCCTCCCTCCTTCTGTCCCTCCCCCTCCTCTGTGTGTGTGTGTGTGTGTGCGCGCGCGTGCGCGCGCACGAGTGTCTGTGTGTGTGTCTCTGTGTCTCTGTGTGTCTGTGTTTTCCAGGAACACCCTAGCCACACCCTCTGTGGGAGTCATTTGTGTTTATTGATTCCAAATACTGTTGCCCTAGTGATCTAATCTAGCCAGAATCAGCCTTGCACTCTGCTGCTAGTTTTGTCATTTCTGACCCACTCATTGCTTTGTAACCCAGAATACTTGATTTCTCTTCCCGTTCCTATTTATCAGCCTTTTCCTTACCTAAATCTTCTATTCTCTATCATGCTTACTGATTCACTCTTCTCCTCAATAGCCCCATTATTCCCCCACCCACCTAAATTCATTAAGATTTCTGATAGGAAGTGCCTAATTACAGCAGGATTCTGAAAGACCCTGGTGTACCCTGCCGGGGGAGGCTGGTGAAGGTTATGGCGTCGCTTTAGCATGTGAGGCTTTATTGTAAACTAGAGAATACTCTGGGTGGTGTATGAGAAGCTGGTGGAGGCTCCCAGCTGGATCCTTCTGTTTTGGTCTTCTTGTTTGAGATTTTTTGTTTACTTATCCCTTTCAGTTACTATCATTTGGGTTAGTTCAGCATACTGTAGCGGAGGGTAGAGATTGACATTCAAGGCCATGAAGTGGGTACAGGACCCAAACAACTTTAAATACCTTGTTCACATCATGGGATTAACTTTTTAACCTAGGATCACACTGGCTTCATCTGTTCTTGTGGTCAGCTTAGACTGTGTTTTCCCTTCCCTTAGGTACTTCCTCAGTATGCTTTTACTAAAAAGAAAGAAAAAAGGAAAACTACAGTGCCTTTGGACTGTGCCCTAGTCCCCTGCCTTGCTGTACATTTATCTGTTCACTCAGCTTCTCGTGTGCACTTGTACACTCATGTTTTTGCCCATTTCCCCGTTTCCCTAAAGTGTTAGCTCCATGAGGCAAGGATTTTGTTTTCGTTGGTGTGTGCTGAGTCACCTTTTCTAGTACTCGCTGCTGCCTGGTGGGTACTGCTGCCTCTAGTGCTCAGAAGCAAACACTCTAGAAAGGGGCACATGTCATCCTCCTTTCCCCTTTCCTTCTTACTTTGGGGCAGTGCAAAAGGAGTTTCTGGCTTCTTGAGTTGAATTCTTAGCCTGTCACTGTAGTCTCTGTTCTCCTTCCAGAGGTGACTTTGATGGTTTCAGTGCGTCAGGCAGTGGTAATGATAGCCTCCGATTTCCTGTCTGCTGAGGGCCAATGTCAGGTTAATCAAGATTCTTGGTGGAAAATCTGTACAGTGCTTTGCGAGTTGCTGTTACTGGATAAATATTCACTGCCTTTTTTTTTTTTTTTTTTTTTTTTTTTTTGTGGTAGCAGGTGTTCCTGATAGGGATTTCTCTGTGCCCTTTCTGCTTATTTGAGGACTAACTCTGCCATTTCCAGTCATCTGATCTCTAAGAAGAAAAAGCTTTGTCCCTTGTTCTTCCTTTTAATGTCATGATTTATTCAGAGAGCTGGCTTTGGCTTTTCTCTATATGATTCATTGTCTGTGTTTTGTTACATTTTAGTTCTTACTAGAACCAGATGATTGATTGACCTTCAGAAAGCAGCTACATTTTGATGTTAGTCTGTAACCTTTTATCAAATATTTTCTGCAGATAAGTTGGGAAAATGAGACATTTCTAAATTATCTTGTAGGAAAAAAAAATGTTCACATCATGTAATCCAGTTACCACCGTCCTGTGTTTCTAGTGTCTGCTTGCTATGCTAGTCTGAAAATCTGCATTTGATCTCTGGAGTCCAGAACGGAAGGAGAGACTTGGGTTCCAGACACTCATTTGACCACCATGTGCACCCCGTTGTACTTGCCCCCTCTTGTCCAATAATAATAAACAAAGCGAAAATTTAAAGCCACTTTTAAGATGGTTGGCTGAAGAATATAATTCCCATTTTTACTGAAATATCTATCTCAAAGGTATTCTTAGGATATGCAATACTATTTGGGAGGTTCACTTTTTTAGTAGTCAGTTTAGACAAAGCAAAAAATGATTTTATCGTTTAAAAATGGAATGGAGCCGGGTGATGGTGGCGCTCGCCTTTAATCCCAGCACTTGGGAGGCAGAGCCAGGTGGATCTCTGTGAGTTCGAGGCCAGCCTGGGCTACAGAGTGAGTTTCAGGAAAGGTGCCAAAACTATACAGAGAAACCCTGTCTCGACCCCCCCCCCAAAAAAAAATGGAATGGAGATTAATTGTGTTCTGCAGACTGTTGTAAAAGGCTTTGTTATATGCTATTAATTTTCTTTTAGAATCCATGACAAGGCTTTTGTTTGACTGTAAAATTACAAACCTTCGTTGATGTCAAATTAGACTCAACACTTAAGTATTTTTCTTTTGTTTCATACTTACTAAGGATAGTCGACCATGTAAGGTAGTTTCACTGTGGAAAGAAAAAAAAACTATTTGTGTTTACAAGTCCCTTTTGGCTAATGAAAACTTGAAGTTTAGACCTTACAAAGTAGTCCTGTGCTTATAACACAGTATACTTTTTTATTCCTTGTGAATCAACACACCCTTTAGCAGCAGGGGTTGATTATCAAATCAAGAAGTGTTTAAAAAAAAAAGCTATGAGTGTTTAATTTGCATAATCAAAAGAACTCTTACAACCTCCGTACTAACAGTTATTAGTTATTATTTTTAACTGAACACTTTATGATGGTCTGTGTAGTCCAACTGTAAGGTTATATCTCGACAGATTTGAGTTCATCTGTTTGTATTTTAAAAATCAGTTAGTGCAGTACATGTAATTGTTGTACTGGAAAAACAAACAAAGAGGTAGTTGAAGGAAGGAAAAAGTACCCACATCTGTTGTTCACTGTCCTCGTGATATTAAATAAATTATATATTTTATCACCTTGGACCTGTGAACACAGCACTGTAATCCCAGGGTATGTGTTACAAAAGGAATGGTATCATGTAGGAGTATAAATTGGATTTTGGGGTATGTGTGTGTGTCAGAAATTCTTATTCTTTACATACAAAGTATGTATACACATAAACAAATATATGGCATAACAATGAAATTCAGATTTTATGAGGTAGAGGTTGAGTAGGAAAAGCTACAAAGGCTTCTGGGAGTAATGATAAGAAGAAGGAGGATTGAGAAGCACTACCTTAAAGGTTTTGGCTGGAATACAGAAAGTCACAACTTTAGAATTCAGTAACCTGCCTTTTTTCACAATACACATGATGGGGTTCTTGGTTTCCTGTTGTGTTTTTTGTTTGGTTTGTTTGCCCCCCCCCCTTCTGTTTAAAGATTCCTGTGCATATAGAGACATTTTATAAATACACCAAATTTGTGCATCTGCCATTAGCCGGCCAAGATCTAGTAGTGTGAGAGTGCATGTAATCCTCTCTTGGGGGCAGCGATGGGGGGCGGTGGGGGTAAATAGTCTGCAAACTGAGCATTTCACTTTGCTGTTCCACAGCCACTTGATGAGGAAGAAAATC